ATTAACATAGATTACAAATCACTAATACAGACTACAGACATATCATTATAGATTAGGGAGCAAGTAATTTTGAATATGTGTACCACTGTGTTTGTGTCATGTACCTATAAAGAATACAGCAAAATAAAGAATTTAACAAGAGAAATTAGTGATCATTAAAATTTCAAATTATTTTAAAATATTTACTTTAAAATATATAAAATTATTCTATATTTTACACATATTAGCATATAAATACTCCAAAAGAGTAACTATATATTTTATTTTTGTGTAACATATTGATATATTAAATGTGGAACAATCTTTCTTTTACATAAAGGTATGCTACCATGAAAATAATCAGTAGTAAATGGATTGAACTAAAGGTCATAAAGCATCTTGGAAGAACAGTAATATGGTAAGAAGAGTAAGAGAATTTTTGAGAATTGAGTATGGGTGCAAAATCTTACCCACACACACATTACTACAACCATACAAGGAAATAACACTTGAGATATAGAGACAATGTAAGAAACAAATGAACAACTCTACAGTTCATCATGCTAAAGCATAAATGCCTCAAAATGTTGCCTGCTGAATTTCTCAAAAATCTAGTTTACAGATATATCATCATAAATGGTGACATTTAGTCTCTCAAATGTAACTCAGCTCCAAAAGCCTTTGATCCATCCTGATTTAAAAATGAGTGATATGACTTAGTTTTCCAATGTCCCTCATTCAGCATACACTATAATCTATCTGGTCTAAATTCCATGATAACCACTCCTTTGCATACATTCCCTTTACCTTCTGTGTTCACTCTTGGCAAGACGCAACCCTTGATGATTCCAAGTCTATTGGATTCACATCCACATCTAGTCAACTGCACTTGGTGAAGAAAAGTTAACACAATAATGTCTATTTTCTATTGAATTCCATCACAGGAACTTAACTTCCCCCCTATTATGGTACAGGAATTCTACTACAATTCTATTCACACTCTCTAACTTTTCCTCTCCTCTATTACACAATGCCACCTAGTCAGTCATCCCCAATATTGCTATTACTATGGGGAAGGGGAGAGATGAAAAAACATGACATTCAGAAGTTCCTGTTAGCACATTCACTTACCTACCAGCATTGGCACAAATATTGCTGATTCTGTAAACGAACTGGCTACACTCATACTAACTCTTGCTTGAGTGCCACTCTAACATGCCACCTCTTCAACCAGGAAATTCTCCCCAAACTGCATCCATTTTCCCAATCCTAGTGACTCAAGCTTTACCTTGATCACAAGTTTTAAATTAATAATAACATACTCCTGATCCTACATCTCTCTCTTTCTGGTAGCAGGTCAAACAAATTATCCAAGCCTATTCTCTCATTCTCTCATTTCTCCAAAATTGCTCTCAACAATGTCCCAAATGATATTCATGTTGCCAAATCCAATGGTTATTTTGCAACTACAATTTGGTACCACATACAATGTCATTTCTTTCTTTTTCTAGTTTTGGAAACACACAAGATGATGTTCAGGGGGACCCTGGTGGTACTCAGGGATCCTAGAGGGGAGGAGTGGTAGGTGACCCTGGTGGTCTGAGTGCAAGGCAAGCACCCTATCAGCTGTACTACCTCTCCAGACCCTGCCATTTCCCTTTTCTTGGAAAAACTTTCTTAGTCAATTTCAGATTATCACCTCCCATAGTCTATCACAGTTAAATCTATTTTAACAGCTCCTGGTAAATACAGATATTCCCAAGGGCTACTACTCATACCTACATTTTTCTCATGTATCCTATACCAGTCTATCATCAGATAGTTTTAATACTATATAAACAAACCCAGAATTGAATCCTTTTTCTCCATTGCTACCACTAACTCCAAACTATCCTTTCATCTGTATTTTTTTCACTAGTCTAACAGGTGTTCCTGTTTAATCCTATTCTGATCACTATTCTGTCTGAATAGAATCTTTTTTTTAAAAAGTTACTCCTATATAGAAAATCACTTTTCTACTCAGAACTCTCCAGTGGCTACTAAAGTAACTTAAAAACAAAGTACAAGAACAAAAACAAAAAAACTAAAACTATACAATTTATAAGGTCCTGATTGCTTTTCTAACTTCACTTTCCACTTTTTACTCCATTTAAGCTGAATTGGTCTCACTTCTGTTCCATGAAGATGCCATGTGTATGAGTCATGGATTGATATACAAATTGAATAACAAATTATCCCAAAACTTCTTCTCCTAAAACAGTAGTTATCTGATACGCTTTGAGCCAGGAACTTGGGTGTTGCATTACTGGACTCTGCCTCAGTCAACATCAAACATCTGGACTTGATTAGTTAAATTTGGACTGTAATTAACAGTGTCAATGTTGGTTTCTTAGTTGTGCCCTATATACATGGCACTATAAATGTTAACAGTGGAAACTGGTTGAAGGGTACATGGGAACTACCATGACTGTAACTTCTATAGCTTCCATGAGGCACAGCAACTCCATTTCTGGGAATACACCCCTGGAGAACACAAAAAGACGCTGCAGAAATGCCATTTGCACTTACATGTTCATTGCAGGAACTATTCACAATAGCCAGAAATTAGAAACAACCCAAGTGCCCAAGAACAGAGACTGGATAAAGAAATTATGGTACATCTAACAATGGAATATCATGCAACCACGAGGAAAAATGAAGTAATGAAATTTGCTTACAAATGGACAGACTTGGAGAGTATCATACTGATGAAATGAGTTAGAGGAGAGGAAAAGGAATAAAAGGACAGCAATCATATGTGAGATATAAAAAAAAAATTACGAGACTGTAATACAAGGACAGTAGAATCTAGGGCCAGGAGGACTGGCCCATGGTTAAGATGATTGCCACAAGTGGGAGAGGAAAGTTAGGATAGAGAAGAGACCATTATAGCAATGAGAGTTGGAAATGACCACTCTGGACAAGTATTGAATGCTAAAAGCAGGTAAAGGGATTTACACGATAACCTTTCAGCATCTGTACTGAAAACCATAGTACCCAAAAGGAGAGAGAAGTACCTGCCTTCACGCTAGGCTGCGGGTAGGGAGGTAGGCATGAAACTGGGGACTTTGATGACGGGAAAGTCCCCGTATATATACTGGGTGAAGGGACACGTGTTGGTACATTGTACAGCGGAAACCCAATCATGAACAACTCTGAACTATGTATCTCACAATAGTTTAACTTTTTTAATACGGTGGAGGAGATGGGAAAGTGCTAAACCCAGAGATGCTCAGGGCTTATTTTGGATTTAGCCATAAGGGATCACTGCCGGCGGGATTCCGAGAACCAGAGGGTGGTCGTGGGGGGGAATGATCGGGAGCACTGACTTAGCGATGGAACGAAAGGGACCTGGGGCCCCTTGCGCCTCTCTCTGCATCCACGCTCTGAGGCCGCGGGGGCTCCTCCGCAGAGAAAAATAAATCCCCAGAAACTGGCCCACCCACGTGAAAACCACCCAACCTGGTTCTTCCGCAACAAAGATGACGCCAAAAAATATATAAATAATTAAAAACAAACAAACAAACAAAAAACAGCCCCGAAATAGACTCAAAGATACCCTCCCAGTGCGGCGGGAGGAAGCAGAAAGAATTTCAAACTCTCGCGAGAACGATGCGCCCACCTCGTCCGCGCATGCGTCCGAAACAAAGCCCGGGCGGGGCGGAGTCGTCAGGCGGAAGTGACACAAGGGGCGGGCCCGAGCCGGAGCTGCTGAGAGGGCGGGGAAAAAGGGAGGATCCAGACAAGCCCCGCCCTCTGTCCATATTGACCCGGAAGCGCGTCATTGGCGCTATAAGAGAGCGTGCTCGCGAGCGCTCGGCCTTTCGCGTCCGGAACCGCGGTTTGCGCTGTGTCTTCTGTGCTCTTGTCTGGGCTCCGGTGCAATGCCGCGTGCTCGTGAGCACCCCGGCCAGCAGCCAGGGGCACGTTTGGAAAGTTCTAGGCCGCAGAACCAAGGAGCCCCTGAGCGTCTCGCGAGGGTTGGAATGATCCTAGCGGATGGCTCGCGCGCTCCAGGCTGAGCTCCCCGAAGGCTTGCGGGGGAGTGGACAGCCTGTGGTCAGGCAGTGGGCGGCGCGTGACCGGCGCCGGGACTAACGGCCTCGCGGGGTGAGTAATGTCCCTGGACGTGCGCGCCGCCTCGCGGGAACCGTGAAACCTCCATGTGTCTTTGGGACCTGCCGCCTGTGGCAGCTTCCCTTCCTAGCCATGGAAGAGCAAACCTTGTTGATTGGCAAAGCTGGCACCACGTCGTTGGTATCAGATTCTGACTTGCACGAGGGACACTTACCGCGGTTGGCGCGCGTTGGGGGTATGTAGCGGTGTCGGTCCCTTGGCCCACGCCCGGGGTGTTTCCAAAGACCCCTTTGACTGGGGTGCGTGTGCCTGCAGATCGGACTTGGTTTGTTTTGGTTTTCGCTTTTGGGGTCACACGTGGCTCTGCACTAAGAAATAATTACTGGTGGTGCTCGGGGGACCAGATGGGATGCTGAGAATAGAGAACCCCGTCGGCCGCGTGCAAGGCAAAAGCCCTACCCACTGTGCTATCGCTCCAGCTCCGCAGATCGGACTTTCAAGTGATTTTTTTTTTCCTTGCAGGTAATCAAGTGGCAGATGTGGAGGAAGTTGGAGCCCGGAAGCCCTTGTAAATTTAATGACTCGGGGCAGGCCAGTGACAGAAGTTCCAGAAACCTGGAGACACCCGCTTCAGGCCTGAGTGATTGTGGTGTGTAAGTTCAGGATAAGTACTCAATAAAATAATTGTGAATACGCTCCTGACTCCGTTATTAAGTGGGTTAGTTAGACCTCATTGCGCGTGGCTCCCTGCTATTCCGAGCTGGTGTGCAAAGTAGATTTCCCACAAACGATGACGAGACATGGGAAAGCTGTGCGCTTTATTTATACAAATTTTCAAGTACATTCCCCCCCCCAAATTTGCTGTAATGAAAGCACATTTTACAAAATCTACTTAACTGAGCAAGCTGTCTACTTGTGGACTGGGAGTTGTTGGAGCACTGGGGTCATCACAAGTAATGCCGGGGGTTCCACCCTTAAAAGCAGGAAGTCATGTTGCTTGTACTTGTATGATCCAAGCTCACTGGTGTTCTGCCCTCTGTACATTTTCCCTGGGCCCTTGTGTGTTTATTTGATGCAGCTCGCATCTGAGAAATTGCTGATACTATTTTACACCTTTAGGAAAAGACTGAGGCTACTCTACAAAGTAATAATATAAAGCACCATTGGGTAAGCACCAGTTAAAAATTTTGTGGGTTTTTTTTTTTTTTTAAGAAAAGCGAAGATTAAAATCATTGCAGAATGAGGAAAGAGATATTCCTACATACTGCCTTAAACTTGTAAGAGGATAACAAATTAATTCAGATGTCTTATGTTTGGGCAAAGAATACATTGCTACCAGAAATGTCCTGTGAGGATATGTAGTAGCTTTGGAAAAGGAGAAAATGGATGACAGTGGGCAGTGTCATTATCGGCAAATGCCCAGCACATAATTTGACTTGAGTCTTAAGTCTGTGGGATGGGTTCTTGGGGTGCCAGGGGATCTCATTATGTTAAGGGCAAATGATTATTTAGCAGATTATCTAAAACGTGATTAAAGTGGGCTTAGATGAAAAGCAGCTCTACCTAAAAATCTATAAAATAAGATAAACTAATATTACATTGAGGTATCTGGAACCAAAAATGTTCACATCACATTCTCAAGCAATGGAAGTACACAATTCTTAACACAACGCAAAATGTCTCTGATCCTCAACCTGAATGTCAAAAGGGATTGCAGTTTTCCACAAAGGATTACAGCTGGGTGACACTTTTTATCCAAGGTACAAATGATGAGACTTTGGTATAAACACCTGGTGAGTCTTTGACACCACAGCCATATCCCCAAGAGGTCACCCCATATACAACCCAGCTCTGATCAGGCCTCTCACACATGAGTGGCCCTCCGCTGTCCCCTTGACAGCTGTCCACACGACTGTGTTCCTGGAGGTTTCCAGCACACAGCATCCTTCCTGTGAACCGACCTTTATAACGTTCTTGGCAAAATCTCTTGGGAAGTAAGGGGATGGCTGCTTGTTGAAGTGTCCTTGAATAGGCTCGTCCTAGTCAAATGGGAAAAAAAAAATCTAGTTAGATTTAAGCTAGAGTTAAGAACAATGAACATTTTTTAGTCTTTAAAAAGAGTATGTATTAGGCATCCAGAGAGTGTATGGTATCTAAGGTTTTTGCATTTGGCCAACCCAGGTTCTATCCTGTACCCCATAGGGTTGCCTGTGTGCACAGAAGTAACCTCTGAGCACTGCCAGGTGTGGCCCAAAACCAAACATCGTCCTTGGGTGCCTTTTTTTTTTTTTTTTAGTGAAACACCATGAGGTACAGTCATAGATTTAATTTTTGTGCTTGGGTTTCAGTCACACAATGATCAAGTACCCATCCCTCCACCATTAGGTGCCTTTTTTAATGTCTGCACTACACATTTCAGTATAATGTGAAAATTTTTCACCTTTTCTCAATACAGAGCCAATAAATTGGGTAGTGTTTATGAACTTGGCAACAGAAATACAGGGTTGTATAGGGCCAGAGAGACAGTATTGGGGTTAAGGTACTTGCAAGACCAGTCTCTCAGTTTTCAGAACACAGCCAGAAGTTAGCCACTGAGCATACTAGAGGAAGCTACCTGGAAAAAGCACTTTTGTGTGAAGTAGGGTTATTTGAATTCTCTGGGAAAAAGCTGGCCCTGATTTTATTTAAAAAGCTGATGCGTAGCCAATCCTCTTAGATTATGCAGAGTACACTGAATTTAAGAACTGCAGAGTATAATTGCATATGAGTAAGGTATTGACTAAGGAAGATTGAGACACAAGATAACCTTTAAGACTAATTGCTTGATGTACTCTGAAAAGTCACTGCATTTTTGTTAATGGCTAAAATGGATAATCTCTGTGATGCTCCTTGTATATCTAAATTCCACTAGCCTCTGACTCTTATTTTCACTACTGGAAAAACAAGTACAATTTCTAAATGTTACCTTTTCCAAATTTAATATAGAATGGGGTAAAATGATCAAATATATTCACTAAAATCTTGAGATTAACTAGAGGAATACCTTTCCTCAAAAATAAAATTCTGAATATATTATGGCAAAGATTTGGTGATCACTGAACACCTAACAATCTTGTGAATTGCACACTTAACTCAGAAGTCACCTGGATCTATTTCCAGTAACATCTTAAGCACTAGTTCTAGATACCAACACAATTACTGTTCTGAAAACTGCATGAACATACAAGGAATACAACCTTCGTTTGGCATTTGGGGGGGGAGATTGCAAAGAAATTTAAGTAGATTTAACTGGATCCCTCCACTTCAACCTCAGCAGCTTTACTTTTGTCTATTATAAATAAGAATTCTCCAAAAGACTCAGTTCAAAATAGAGCACTACTCAAAGCTTTTTAGAGTGCAGATTGTCAAGTCTTTCTCCGGGTAAACTAAAAATTCTTGAAAAAGCTCTTCCTTTGAGGGACCTCAGAGTAGAGGAATCAGCTCAACACCATAAGCAGTTCTGTCACCTTGTACAGTTCCAGTCAGATGTGACAGCACATTTATGCATCGCCTTGTCAGAATTTCCAGATAATAAACTAACTCTCAAAGATTTTTTACCCATTATACACTCAAATGTAGGGCTAATCCGAGACACAGGAAGGAGCCTGGATCTGCTCTGTTTTGTACTCACTGTACCTGTGTCACCCCATCCTGTTATGTAACAATTCGAGGCAGTTTTCTGTGGTCGCTCCCTGCGGAGTGGCAAACAGGCAGGTAAGACGTGGCTGCTGAACCTGGCACACTGCTCCTGCGGCCCCTGTAATCTAACCAGGGCGATGTCGTAGTCACTGCTGTTTGGCCGGTAGGCTCCGTGAATCACGATCTGCTCAACTCTGATTTCTTCTTCAAACTCCTCTGGCACCAGAGTATGATAATCCCCAACTCGAACAACGTAGCTCCTCGTACTGTTCCCGTACCTGAGAGATGGAGAGAGCGAATGAGAGGAATATTTCCAATGCAGGAAATCGGTCACTGACAGGTCAGCAAGGAAGGTGAAAGGGTGACCTGTGGGTTTCTCTGAGTGCCCCCTGCTTCCTGTCCTATACTTGAAACCCATCACTTCTCTTCCATTCCTGGCTTAATCCAGGTAACTAGTTCCTGAGAAGGAGCAAATGGGCGATGAGAGACTAGGAAGCTCTTCCAGACCCGCTGAGTTGCCTGAAAATGAGTCAATCCTTTGAAAGCTCCAGTGTAGTAGCATTTCACAGAAATTGGGAACATTTTCTAGGGTTTGTTATACTGCCAGACTTCCGCCCCCAGTAAAAGGCTACAAAAGTATAGGGACCACACCAGGCTCACTTTTGGACATCAATAGAGAATGAAGCACCTGGTACAGAGAAAGCTCTTAATATGCTAAAAACCTCTTTTGAAAGGTATATACACATATAAACATACTATCATTGCTAATTTAATTGTGTCAGACACTTCAACTCTCACAATAGCAGTATCATAAAAGTTTCTATTAAAAGAAAACTAATGTCCTTGCTAATGCTGGCTGTACATCAGAATAACCTGTACTGTGTTTTTAAAAAAATACAAATGTGCAGCGGCCAGATAGATAGAACAATGGGTACGGCATTTTCCCTGCATGGAGCCAACCTGGGTTCGATCCCCAACACTGCATATCACTCCTGAGTACCATCAGGAGTAATTTCTGAGCACAGAGCCAGGAGTAAGCCCTGAGCACTTCCAAGTGTGGCCCTGAAACAAAGCAAAATGAACATATGTGTGTATGCATATATATATGTATGTGTGTGTGTATATATTTATATATATATGGCTGGAGCAATAGCACAGCAGGTAGGACGGTTTGCCTTGCACACGGCCAACCCGGCCAACCCGAGTTCGATTCCTCCACCCCTCTCAAAGAGCCTGGCAAGCTACCGAGAGTATCTCACCCACACAGCAAAGCCTGGCAAGCTACCCGTGACATATTCAATATGCCATACACAATAACAACAAGTCTCACAATGTTACTGGGCCCGCTCTAGCAAATTGATGAACAAAGGGAGGACAGTTCTACAGTGCTACAGTGTGTGTGTGTGTGTGTGTGTGTGTGTGTGTGTGTGTGTGTATCTGCATCACAAAATTTCTCCTAGCATTAAATTAATAGAGATGATGTAAAAATCACTGTAAAATATGTAATTTTTAATTATTAATGTAAAAATAGGAGGTTGACACTTCCTATTTGGGAGGTCTAATTTCTAACTTTCCTAAATGGCAAATAAAGGAGTAACAAGAAATAATAAGAAGAGTGTGTCAGAGTTCATAAGATATAAAACCCTGCATCTTAGAAAACTTTTTCGTATGTCTTGCAAAACATATTTCTCACTGATAAAATTCCATTTATTTCCCTTTCACTATATTTAGTCCTTTGCATATGGACTTCGAGAATGGAAAAAATATATATTAATAGCACTACTATGTATAAAACACTAATAAAACAAACACGATTTCCACAAAAAATATATTTTAATAAGCTTGTTATAGAAAATCAAACATTCAACATTTTCAGCATTTTATCAATAATTCAAAATTCACTGTTACCTATCTGGGAATGCTTTGTATTTTGAAAGATTACCTCAACTAAGGGCTGGAGCGATAGCACAGAGAGTAGGGTGTTTGCCTTGAATGCGATTGACCCGGGTTCGATTCCCCCGCCACTCTCAGAGAGCCTGGCAAGCTACTCAGAGTATCCCGCCTGCACGGCAGAGCCTGGCAAGCTTGTCATGACGCATTCGATATGCCAAACATAGTAACAAGCGTCACAATGGAGACGTTACTGGGCCCGCTAGAGAAAATCGATGAACAACAAGAGGACAGTGGTACAGATGGATGTAAAAATCAGAGATGATTCAAATTCACAGTCAGGACTGAATCACAGAATCAAAGACTTAAAGGCATGTTTATGAATCCTGCTTCTGCATGCCCAGAATTTCACTGGCTAAAATAAGCAACCTAAAGGATTACAATCAATATCAACACATAAAAACGATATACCTTCAAAACATACTCTATGTTCTGAAATCAAATAATTTGGGGAAAATATTTTCACCCAAAAATTAGTAAGTTCATCAAAGAGAAGCTGATAATAAAATTTAGGAAATACATATATAGTTGGCAAGAAGGGTAAAAGCACTGTTGTCAAATGAAGTTCATTATAGGTTCTTGTACTTTTAAGTGTTCGGCTTAAAGAAATGGGCTCTCTAGGCATCAGGGCTTCAGTTACCTGGTGATATGCGGGAGACTCAACAGCACCAAAAACATTAACTCTAAGCTGCAACACTGAAACTTCGAAATGTGTTGACAGGTGAAGATAGGGTAAGGGTAAGGGTGGGGAAGGAATATGGGAACTCTGGTGGAGGGAAATTGACACTGGTGGTGGGATTGGTGTTGAAATATTATATGCCTAAAACAACTGTAAGTAACTGTAAATCAGTTCTTTAAAAAAAAAAAACTTAATTAAAAAAAAGGAGAAAAGCGCTATCTAAACTCTATGCAGTGATTTCTACACTTTTCACTATATTCTGATTCTATTATCCTATACTTTTAAAAAATTATACTTGAAATTTGAAGAGCCTCTGCCACAAGGCTGGATTAGTTCACAAAGTATTTGTCTCATAATGCTCTCTCTCCTGAAGAGAGTGATTACATGATTCAAAAATAGTAGGTTGGCAGAGGTTCCCAGCATGACTCCAAACTTTCAAAGTGTTTATTATGGTTCTGGATTTCTCAAGAAAACCTACCAAGGTACTATCTTTTCAATATATTGAGCGTTTGTTATTTTGGTAGATTCTACTAGAATTCATGCTTCTAAAACAAACACTTTTGTTTTGGCTGACACACCACTGGGTTGTTTGCTTTGCTGAAATGCCTTCAGTTCCCCCTCAAATAAAAATATGATGAAATTTACAGACAAGCTTGAGCAAGAGAGGATCTGAGACAAGTAGTTCAGTAAAATCCAATTTTCCAATTTCTCTGAGATTCTAAGGTTAAACAATGGCCAAAGATTAGAATTTAAAACTAGAATGGGGTAATTCAGGTTTCAGGGTTAATTCTTAGTTCTCTACACATTCACTTCTGAAACTTAGTATTTTACATCAGCATCTGCACATCTGCTATAGGCACAGTTTGTTCTTCTGTCATTTGGACGAATCTCAAAATATGGGTTAACTTAAAGCTTCCTTTAAGTAGTTGACTATGACTGCTTGTGGAAATGGTTCCGGATGTTAGGAAGGAGCAACATTCTCTATAGACCCTTGTACTGCCATTATATATGTGCCATTATAATGTGCATATATATGTATTAGTATGCTCATATGTTAATATATACGACAAGTGTATATGCTCTGATGTTTTTAACATTTATGGTTTAAAGTATGTTATATGTTTATATATATATATATAAAACCAAACACCATGTTCTTAAGAAGTCTTTCATATACTAGAACATGACTGACATAACTGTCTTCTTGAAAGTTCCATTTCCATTGTACCTCATCTTTTGAATTACAAAGATCTAGACATTTAGATTTTCAGAGAAACCATCACTGAAGTTTTCAGTTCTATAGCACTCCTCAGAAAAAAGTCAAAAAGATAAAATCAAGTTAAAGTCCTATCATTTTTATCTAAAATAATCTTTAACAAGTCATGATTTCTTTTAAAAAAACAATCATACTTGTAGTAGGCCCAGTCCCGATCTGAGCAGCCTTGGAAATCTCAGCCCCAGGTGCCTCACACCTGGGTTCCTTTGCTGGTTCCTTCATGCTTGAGGCTCATCTGAGCGTGTGAAGAGTGGTCTTAAGCATGGCTATGTCTGGTTCCGGAGGTCTTCAGCTGCCTCCACCCAGATCCCCCATCTTCCAGTAGCTAGGCGTCACACCCACCAACTCCCCTCCCTACCCCCACCCCCCCCCCCCACACACACACACACCGCCATGTAATCCCATCAACCTCCAAGCCTGAGAGACTATAAAACCAAGCTTCCGGAAATGCACGGCTAAGAATGCGGCCTCTTATTGTCTAGTTCTCACTCTCAGAAAACCTGGCAGGCTACCAAGAGTATCCTTCCTGCACAACAGAGTCTGGCAAGCTCCCTGTGGCGTATTCAATATGCCAAGAACCAGTAACAATGGTGGGTCTCATTCCCCTGATCCTGAAAGAGCCTCCAATGTGGCACTTGCTAAAATCTCAGGGCTAGGACCAACGGAGACGTTACTGGTGCCTGCTCCAGGAAGTCGATGAACAATGGGATATCAGTGATACTTGCAGCAGATTACAAAAATTGGCCTAGTTTTACTGACCTCCAAAATGGTGTTTGTTATCAGAATAAGCACTTAAGAAGCATTAATTTAATTCTTAGGAGTTAATCTCAATTATATAGCTGCACCAACAAAAAGAGGATCATTTTGTGGTATTTGTGGTTATAATTTAGAGTAGAAAACAGCAAAAGTTTGCAATTTATTTTATGTTGTGTAAGGTTCACAGAACAACTACAAAAAAACCCTTAATTTATCCATGTTTCCATTTCAATTTGCCAAAAGGATATTGCATTCCAGAGTCTGCACTGCATTAACTAGAAAAAATATGAAAAATGTTACAGATGATCTTTAAGCTGATACACCAACCACCTCAGTTATCTGTGTTACACTGGCATGAAGTGTTCTGGATGCCTCACAAAAAATTAAAGCTGTGAACAAATCAGAGTTGGATTACTGGAGTTTTGCCCATCATAAAGTTCCCTGTCATGTAAAAACATTAGGGGGCAATGAGACAGTTCAATGGGATGTTGCAAGCAGGAGGCCCAGGGCCAATCCCCTGCATTGCATAGTACTCGGAGGACTGCCAGTAGTGACCTCCAAGCATTGCCAAGTTGGCCCCAAAACAACTCATCTGAAATTATAAATGATCCGACCTG